AATAGCTAAAGGGACAGAAAATGTGCGAAAGTAACGTCTCCTGCAGGACTGCTGTTCGGCGGCCAGTGATGCGCTTACAGCCGCACGGTGAATAAACAAATACGATTTAAGTTATCCCACAATTAGAAAGCATTGTAATTCAAAAGGACTGAAGTATTCATAAATTGTGAATGAAGATGGAAACAATGATAAGGCTTATTCAGTGATTGGATACAGTCCTGTAGCTTTTTGGCTGACACATTTTTTATTGTTTATATTTTGTTTGGCATCTAAGTGTGATTGACTTAGATATGGGTATTTTCAGCAAGTAAACGTGAGCTGCAGTGGAGCAAAGCTGGAAAAGGGTACTGGAGAAGAGACGTTTCTTCTTCAGAGGAGAAATGAGTGCATGTAGGAAGCGTTTTGTGTAACGGGCACCCACAGGCTTACAGGTACACACATAGAAATAATTACTTACGGTGGAATTTGCAATTAGTAAAAAATTAATTAGGTGTGCACTGTCCATCCTGTGAAATTATTGACAGGCAGAAAGACCTCTGCACCAGAGTATAAACCTGAGCGTACAACGTAAGGAAGTGTCTTTTACATTGGAAATACGCAAATTTTCACCACCGCCTCTATTGCAGCGGGTCGTTCATTGGGTTGTTTCCTGCCCTAGTGAACTTTTTTTTGCCATATGTGCTTTTTGGACTTACACATGTAATAGGTTTTCCCATTCTTTACAAATCTGTATTAAAATACTGCACTCAGGTGTGTGCGAAAACACAGCATCGTACTTCTACGGCCATAAACACAAGAAAGCCATTCCTGGCTTTTATGCATTGATAACTTCTCCATAATATTTTACAGTCATGCCGTATCATGTGCCACGCAGAGGCAGTTCCCATTTAGTGGTACATGCATGGATCACAGTTGCATCAAGTTGATTTTCATTTGGAATCTCTCGCTACCTATTTGGAACGACAAAGACATTGTAAAAAATCATATTTCTTCTCCATAAATTAAAAATTAAGATTACACTGGCAATGGGAATTTATGCTTTGTGTTATTTATTTATTTAAAGCAGAAGATTGATGAATCTTATTTTGAGTTGCGACTGCGTTAAAGTAGTACTGCCAAAATTGTTCTCTCTATTGTGTTCTCCGTCTCTAGGGCTTTTGCGATGCACGTTGGCTGTGGTAGTGTGTGCTCAGAAGAAAATATTTTGGTAAAAGTTCTAAACACGGAACACCTGTTTGGACCGAGCTCCTTGTGAAAGCAGTAGTTCAATTTGTGCCGAGACAGCGCTGAAGCCCCTTTTTAAATAACAAGTCTAAAATCCAAAGTACAGCTTTTAGACAAACCTTGGCGATTCGAATGTTACCCATCACTCTCTCAGTAAAAGTTTGGTGGGTCTAAAATAACAAGGAAGACTGAAGACTTACTAAGTGCAGTTTAATTTGTGTGTGTGTGGGTCCTTTCCCCTCCTCCTCAAAAGCCTCTTTCCCCTGTTTTGGAATGAGTGTAAGCTGCATTTATCTCTCTTGCTGAGGCATGATAGGATGCAGTTACCGCATGCCTTTAAGTGCTTGGTCTCTTGTGATATTTTTGCCGTGGTTTATTTTTATGTTACGCTGGTCCAGGAAAGTCAGAATATGTGTCATTTTCTTTTCTTCCCAGAACATGTTGTTTCATTATGCACAGAGAAAATCCATGCAGGGAAACCAAGTACGTGAAGTTTTCTGTATAAAATTTCCAGCCTGGTAAATTTATTGTATGGCCCTCAGTTCAAACTTGCATGAATTGATACAGAGTATATAAAAGTGGAAGACAGCAGAAGGATGCTGCATTTCCCCTTTACCTTTTCCAAAAAAGAAAAACTGGCCTGTCTATCATCATCAGGTGACTGGTATTTTTTTCCTTTATTTACAAGCTACATAGATATTATATAATAACTTCCATTTTGATTTAAATTACCAGTGCACAGTGGTTCACCTGAGCCATTTCAATATGACATTTGAAAATCTTACCTCCATAAATCACTTTATTGCAAGAGTAACTGTGGCACATTGGTAAGTGCCACATAAAAAAAAAAAATTCAATATTGCCTGTGTGAATATTAAGGGGGGGGAAAAATCAAATTCTGTAGATGGCTTTTTAGGAGGTTTAGTGGAGAGTGTGGGTGATTAATTGCAAATCTCCATTTGGGATCATTTTTATGGGCACTTCTTGTCAAGTAATGTTTCATTTGAAAGGACTCCACATGCACAATGAATCTCTCAAAGGTATCTGATAATATTGCTTTAGAACAGGATGTTCTTTGCCATGTTTTTCCTTCACAGTCTTTCACATGTATTTGCATCTTTAGGACTTAATGATACTATGAAAGAAAAGCCTGAATACAGGTTTAAAAAGGTTTGGTTTGTTTATTGATTTATTTCACTCTTTGAAAAAGAAGCATGCAACCACTACAGATTGGAATTTAAAGAATGAAATTTTTCTCTATAAAATTTTCATAGATGTAAAATGCTATAGGTAATTATTGGTAATACTATGCACATTACCTAGAGGCATAGCCATTCAAAAATACTTTGTAATGTTCCCAAAAATGAGAACTGGATGTGCAGTATTCTAATAGCGTAGACTATTTACCTTAATTTTAATACCTTTTTAAGTTATAAATGCTGAAGTCTGTTTAGAGGTAATCATTGTATTAGGGCAAAAAAGTAATTTCTTCCAGAGCTTTTCAGCCCTCTGCCTTTGCCCCATCTTTAGCCCCAGCTATTAACATTTTCAAAATCTGTGGTAAATCTGTTTGATTCAGTCTAAAATGAATTGTAAGGATTTAGCACTGCACGGCCTTTAAGCTTACGTGCTTTTTTTTTTTTTAAATTTTTATTTTATTTGAATGCTTCAATTAAGGCGAGTAGAAGAAGAAATAAACTTTCTTTAGTAGCTATAATTGAAGGGAAAAAAAGCATGGCATCAGAAAGCATATGAAGATAGGGAAGTCTTATCATGGGCTGTGGTTACTCAAAGCAGTATTGCCTTCCCACACAAAGAACAGATTGTGGTTTAACTCTTTCCATGGCCTAGTTTTATGTGCCAGTATAGTATCAGAATTGTTCGATTCTCTGCTGGAAACTACTAACCAGTTTAATTATTGCCTTTGTGGCTTTTTGTCAAGCATCATACTGTAATGCAACTGTTTATGTCCGGAATTATCTTCCTATATCTTCCTCCCAGCTTTTTTTTTTTTTCCCCCCTGTGAAGGTAACGTGGTTGTAGATAAACTGCTTGCAACTTTTCCATACTTTTCTCTTTGATTTCAGGGTGGTTAGGGAAGAGAGGTAATTAGCTCTAGTGGTGTTTTTTACCATTCAGGAGATTTTGAAGTTTGTTTGAAATTTGAAGATTTAAACACTAAATTCTTGGCCTGAAGCTTCTACAATGGCAATCTGAACTTTGTGTAATTGAGACCATTAGTTACACTTTCATCATTTTTACCTAATGGAGTTAATCAGCCTATTGATCAAACATAATTCATTCCTTGTCTAGCAGCGTAGATAAAATAGAAATTTGTTAATTGTATTCTTGAATATAATTGTATAAAAAAGGTTCAGTTTTAGTTTGATTGCACCATGCCGCTCAGTATGATGAGCAATCTGCACGGTATTTAAAACTAAATGTGCCTGCACACAGGAAGAAAGATACCTCCCCTAAGGTCTCCCTTCCAAACCAAAACACCGTAATGTTTGATAAGCAGATCGTGCTGTTTGAAACAGCGGATTTACTGACGGAAAAGAGGCATTAGTTTTTGGGAAAGGCCTGCTTAGATATTAACATGGATGTGTAGGATGGTACTTTAAGCAGACAGAACGAATTAATTTAATTGCTATAGGATGTACTTGTAGACGACAACTAAGCATTGCCTCCTTAATGCAATCCGTATCGCTGCTAGGCAGAAGATAAGAACTTGCAGGTGAAGCCAGATGACAGAAAGGGGTATTTTGGAACTGTAAATAAATTGCATGGATTTCACAAAGGCAACATTTGACCAGCGGTGCACTCGTCATGTCACTCTGCCACAGCATGCAGAAATACAAGGAACGCAAAGTTTGTGCCAAGTTGCCATTTTTCATTGTACACCTCAGATTGATTTTTAAGGGGTTTAGAATAATTGCCACACTCATGTGATCAGTTAACAAATTAACCGGCTCTGTGGGGCTTCAAAACCCACAGTGGAGCTGCTGGAAGAACATAAATGTAATTTTTGTTCCCTACTTCATAAACTTCTATTTTACAGAGTTTGGGGGTGGTGGGAGGGAAGCCTGAAGAGCTGAAAGTACAGCGGCTTCTGTTCAGGAATTGTATACGACACGCTGTGTCTTTTGCCCGCTTTCCCTTACTGTATACTGGTTTCTCTAGTTACCACCTCTGGAATGGTGCTGTTTCAGTGCTGGAATGTTGGACGTTTGATAAGAAAATGGATCAAGTTTAATGGCGCATGCTCTTTGTGCCACCAGCAGTCTCTTGCTGAGAGCATGCTCCAAAAGCGGGAACTGTGTGGCATTACACTGAGCATGTATATGCTTTGTGTTTCTGTGCCACAGAGAAGAGAAATGAACTGTGGCATTCATCTCAGCCTCCTGAACGTTTCTGCTCAGATTTTTTAAAACCGTAGAGTGCTTTCTTTGTGCAATGGTACTTTTCTTGATGTTAGCTGTTCACTCAGATATTTAAATGTCAGAAACGAAACATCTTGATAGCATCTCTTTTAAATGATGTTGTCTCTGCAGCGTTGCGGGATGAAGTGAGGGGAGGCATGCAAAATAAAATCTTCACATGGTTCTTTCAAAGAGTGAAATGTGGGGAAAATGCGATTCTCTGTGTACGGCGGTAGTAATTGCATAAAAGGTGTTACGCAGAAATTTGTGTAAATTTTCAATGTTTATTCTCTTGGTCTTGAATTTCACTTTAAGATTTTCAGAAGGCTTTCTTGATATTGCTTTGATTATGAGAACTTACTGACTTCGAGTTTTCTTCTTTTTTTTTTTTTTTTTTCCTTCCACTTCTTTCCACAGGATGAATTTCACCCGTTCATTGAGGCACTTCTTCCACATGTCCGTGCAATTGCCTATACCTGGTTCAACCTTCAGGCTCGGAAACGCAAGTACTTTAAAAAACACGAGAAACGAATGTCAAAGGATGAGGAAAGAGCAGTCAAGGATGAGCTTCTTAGTGAAAAGCCTGAAATTAAACAGAAGTGGGCATCCAGGCTCCTGGCCAAGCTGCGCAAAGATATTCGCCAAGAGTTCCGGGAGGATTTTGTGCTCACGGTGACTGGGAAGAAGCACCCATGCTGTGTATTGTCCAATCCTGACCAGAAGGGTAAGATTAGGAGAATCGACTGCCTGCGACAGGCTGACAAAGTCTGGCGTCTGGATCTAGTCATGGTGATCCTGTTCAAAGGCATCCCCTTGGAAAGTACGGATGGAGAGCGGCTCATGAAATCCCCACATTGCACAAATCCAGCACTTTGCGTCCAGCCACATCACATAACAGTATCAGTCAAGGAGCTTGATTTGTTTTTGGCATACTACGTGCAGGAGCAAGGTAGGAAGCAGCTTGTCGTGTTTCTATGTTAGTATGTCAAACTATAATTCCAAGTCACCCTGTTTCCCCTATGGCTGGCTTCCAGTCAAACATTATTCTGTGGTCTATAGACGTAATGTGGGTACATATCCATATGTAAATCAGCATGTATACGTATATACTTACATACACACACGTTCCTGCAGACGCATGTAAATGACAAGTATGTTTGACATACGTGCCTTGTTCTCTTTCGAGAGAGTGGAACATACAAAGGTAGTGCCTTAGTTCCTCTGAAGCTGCCTTTACCAAAAAGTGGCAATATGTTGTGTAGGTTTTCCAGTCATGACTTCAGAAAACATTTTTCTTTTTTTTCAAGGTTGTTTCTCCCCCCTCCTCCCCATCCCAGTACTGTTAGTAACAGACGCAGGTATGTGCAATTGCACAATCACAATAAATACTACAAATATTTATTACTGTTTTTATAGTTACAAATAATCAACCATTCATCTCTAGACTGAGGAACCTACTATCACTTTGAAGAGCAATCATAGGCTTTCTCACGTCTATAAAATAAAACGTGAAAAAACTTTAGCACAGAAATACTGCTTTGTAAATACCATATGTAGCCAGAATTATGGCATACAGTATCAGCGTTTTATTCATACTTTACATCACTAGCTCATCTTACCTATCTAAGCTTTATAACAGAGACCTAGGTTGTAACATTACGAGAGAATTTACCGTGAAAAGAAAATCTTCATAATCGCACTCGTACATTTAATTTTATTTGACAGATAATTGAAATGTGGAAAACTGCAGGAACACTATGGAAAAGCTTCTTAAACATAGTTTACAGAATGAAAAGAAGGCCAACGCTTCTGATAATCGTATATCAGGGAAAAATCTGATAGTCATGTGGCATATTCAGATAACATTACTCGTAGGCAGGTGCCCCGAAGTCGTAAATGGCTGTAAGTAGAAAAAGTTGTGGTTTTTTTTTTTTTCCTCTCCAATACTAAGCTTTCTGAAATGCTTTTGCTCTGTGAGGTGTCATTTTGGTTCTTTCTGGTGATTATACCATCCTCTAGATGTCTTTGTATTGCTGACTGTTCAGCAGTAATAAAGCGTTTCTTTTTAGCCGCAGATCTCAACGAGGGAAAGTTTGGTTGGCCGCAGATGGCGGGACATTTCATGACTTGGCCTGGTAGTAGGCAGAAATGGCCTGCAGAAGGGCAGATGGCAGGCTGTTACCTGGTGCCCAATATGTATCTGCGGAATATAACTGAAACCCGAATGCACTCGGTTTTGTTAGTAACAAAAAAGTGGCAGTGCACACGTCTTCATTTGGTGTGTACTCATTCTTCAAAAGAGCAGATAGGCAACACAACAATTTTGTTTTCAGTGGATTTGTCTTTTAGCATTTGCTCACCCAAGCGGAGCACTGTGTTTCTGTGAACGTATACATAGGGTTTGATATATTTTTTTTTAAATTATTCATAATGAAAATATACGGATCATTGTTTTGGTTTGGTATGATTTTTTTTTTTCCTACTTGTATTTTTTTATTACTCTCTCCACAGTAGTAGACAACACTTAGATATTTTGCAGCGACTTTAAGTAGCTGCAGAGTCTGGTAAATCTGGTCCACAGAAGAAAGATTTCTTTGTTAGCATTGAACAAAATAGCTTAATTACAAATAATTTGTGCCTTTAAACTCCTTTTGTGAAGAAAAATTCAAACAATATTTTGAATGTGTATATATAGCAAGACATAGCTTACTGATTAATTCTAATGGATTTACCTGTGTCATAAAGTCAAAACTACAAAGGGAGGCAAAAGAGTTTAAGTAGCTCTTGAGCCGAAGAAGCTGGGGTCAGAGTACTCTTACACACTGTCGACTTTTAAGTTGTTGGAAGCCAGTAACCTGAAGTGGGAGAAGGAATTGCAGGGCATAACTGCTTTCATTGATTTGAATGGGTTGAGAATATGAGTTTATTTAAAACACTTGTCTAATCAGAAATGAGTAACATAAGCATGCTGCAACATTACAACTTTCAAAGTTAGTTTGAGAATATACTGGAAGATGAAGCTGGCTAATTTCTATGTACCAAGTCACCCTCAGTAGACCCTTTTGTTTATTGTAAACTGCATGTATTTTGTATCTGTCTTGCTGCTTCACAGTAAATCTTCCATTAACATCTGTTGGCTCTCTTCTTGAAGAAGTCATATTAAGTTATCATTGTATTTTTTTTTTCCGTTTTGTCAAACTTTGATTCTCTATCTTCATTGAAAGCAGGTTAATTGTGACACTTTGTCGTGCACTTGATTAAGAGCACCAGGCTTTGCAAAAGATAAGCATGAAGTCAACCAAAATGCTGCGTTATACACATGCTGTTTTGCTTTTTATTTCTCTTTTAGAATATATAAACCTGCCTAATAGTATCATGCAAAAACTAAGTGGAGACGTAGAAACAATTAAATCTCTGAGAGAAATATGAAGAAGGAATTAGCACATAAACCGAATAAAGGGGCCAAGTAGTTTGGGTTTTTTGTTGCTTTAAAAAAAGAAGATTAAGGGGAAAAAGAGGAGGAAGGATAGTTCGAGTGCCAGTGATGGTTGCCAGTGGCACCAGGATTGGCATCAGACCTTCTTTGTTTAGCCTAGGATGCCTGTGATTTGTTGGTTGGCATCCGCATTGCAGTGCCGAGTAATGTTACAATATATTGACAATTTCCAGATCTAGAAGTGTCAATAATCCTTTTCAGTTCTTAATAAAAAGGGCTTCTACTTCCATGCCCGCCTTGAAAGAAGAATTAAGGATCGACCTATGAAGTTCTGTCATTGACCAACTTCATCTGGTTCCACTTTTTGCCCATCTCGCTCAGAATTCAGTATCTATTTCTCCCCTGCCCTACCCCCCCATCCCGTTTCTACTATCCTCTTGTGCTTTAGGATCTTAAAAAAAAAAAAAAAAAAGAAAAATGGGCTTGACACAGGTTGCAGTGCTGCTCCTTTGAACGAAATGGAGGAAGAAAATGGGAAGTGTGCACTGTGATCAATATTTAGCATCAAAATCCTTCTTAATCGTAACACATTTCTATGGGGCTCTGCCTGTTGTATCAGGTCGTGTATCGCCTCCCCCCCCCCTCCCC